CGTCTTACACTCCTAAATTAGGAACGGCTAGCGCAGATAGCCCTCGTGTAGCTTTGCGCGAAATTCAAAAACAAACAAACAAACAATATTCTTCTCACATACTCAAACTCTTATCAATTTTACAAACAGTTGTATAGGTGCTTAAATTCTCAAAAAGTATTAAATGCTTTAGTCATAAATCAATTTGTTTATTTTTATGACAGAAACGGATTTCTCAACTTACGAACAAATTATAGACGTAGAATATCCTGTGGTATTCTAGTCTATTTTTTTTAGATTATAAAGTATGTATCTAGAAATTGCAGTTCGAATTTCTTATAAATACCAATCGTTCCATCAATTAATTCTACTGAAATATTGCCCAACTCTGTTTTTATTCTTTTCCATCTAAAAGTATTGACTTAATCACAGCATTTGGCAAAATGCACAAAACAAGTTTTCCAAAAGCGAATGTTTTACGGTGATTTATTTTTACTCGAATACTGAGGTGAAATAAGACATTCCAAGTGCTGAGAACTATAATTGTATAAGATTAAAAACTCTTTCTTACTACAAAATTCACAGAAAGTAAAGCTAAAAGTATTTGAGTTTCAATAATTATTAACTGTTACTTCTCTGTGTTTACTATAGTAAAATGCTTTAAAATAAGTTAATATTAGCATAAATTCTCACAAGAGAAAGATCTTTATATTAAGCATACACAGTTCGGTTATTAAATTTATCAATATTCTTCTTCCTGAATTTCAAAATATTAAAAAACTTCACATCATAAAAAAAAATATTGTTGACATGTGCAGATCTTTAAACAGTTAGCTAAGCCAACCATGTGGGATGGAATCAAATCAATCTTCTTTTTTTCCAGAAACAGAAATCCATATAACTCTCGATCCTCAAGTTATGTTAATAAACTTTTTATTACTCGTATGCAAAAGTTTAACAAGTTTCATTTAATCATGTTTTTGCTTTCAAGGCACGAATCAACTGAACTATGTGATTTCAATAAATTATTCAAAATCAGTTATAATATATATTATTTCGTCTTGTATAGTTGTTTGTTGGATTTCACGTAA